TATTATATAATTATATATATAAATAAATAAATATATATATAATTATATATATTTATTATATATATATATACACATATACATATATATCTATATAAACATATACATATACATATACATTTTTATATACATATACATATACATATAAATAAATAAATAAATAAATAAATAAATAAATAAATATATAAATAAATAAAACATATAAACAAATAAAACATATAAATAAATAAATAAAATAAATAAATAAATAAATAAATAAATATACAAATATATATAGGCCCCTTTGTGCCTGTTGGGGTGTATAGGCAGCTAGCAGCGCAGCACAAGGAAAGAGACACTTTGTCCCTTTTCCCTCCCTGCTGCTAATTCTGCTGCTGCTGCTGCTGCTGCTGCTGTTGCTGTTGGGTGTTGCTGGTGCCCTTGTCTTTACGCCTGTTGCTGTTGCTGCTATTGCTGCTGCTGTTGCTGCTGCTATTGCTGCTGCTGCCTTTGCATCATTTATTCTTCATTTTGCTGCTCGCCAACCTGCTGCTGCTGCTGCTGCTGCTGTTGCATCTCCTCCTCTCCCTGCTGCTGCTGCAGCTCCTGCTCTTCGCGCTGCTGCTGCTGCTGCTGTTCTTCCTGTTGCAGTTGCAGCTCCTCCTCTTCGCGCTGCTGTTTCTGCTGCTGCTGCTGCTGTTGCTGTTCTTTCTCCCTTTCTTCCCTCTCCTGCTGCTGCCTTTGCTGCTGCCTTTGCTGCTGCTGCTGGTGTATATCTTCTAGTACAGATGGCAGGTTTTGCTGCTGCTGCTGCTGCTGCTGCTGCTGTCTGTGCAGTTGCTGTGTAAATAATTGTGTATGTGCAGCACTCGGTGCAGCAGCTGCTGCAGTTGCTGCTGCTGCTGCTGCTGCTGCTGCTTGAGCTGCTTGAGCTGCTTCAGCTGCTTCAGCTGCAGCAGCAGCTGCAGCAGCTGCAGCACTTATTCCTCCTCCTTTTTGCTCCTCTCCTTCTCCCTCCTCTTCCTCTTCCTCCTCCTCCTGTTGCTGCTGCTGCTGCAGATGTCTTGCATCTATAACAAGATGATTAAGTGTACGTGCTGCTGTTTGCATGCGTATTGCTGCACGTAAATATTCCCCTAATCTTCCTGCATCTGCTGCTGCTGCTGCTGCTGCATCGAATTGCTGCAGCTCTTTCTGCATCTGCTGCATTATACCCTCTAATTGCTGCTGTCTCTCCTCCTTTTCCTGCTGCTGCTGCTGCTGCTGTTGTTGCTGCTGCTCCTGTTGTTGTTGCTGCTGCTGCTGTTGCTGCTCCTGTTGCTGCTGCTGCTGCTGCTGCTGCTGCTGCTGCTGCTGCTGCTGCTGCTGCTGCAGCTGCTGCAGCAGATGCCTAGCAGCAAATGCTGCATCCGCACTAATAATAGTCTCTGTTTTTATTAATTTATATAAATAAAATTTATTATTAATAAAAGAAAAGTTATAAAAAGTTTGTGCTGCTGCTGCTGCTGCATGCATAATATTTCTTGTTAATCTATTTGCTGCAGCAGCAGCAGAAGAAGAATAAATATTATTTAATAAATAAATATCCCTATTATTATTATTAATTATATTATTTATAATAAGGAGACAATCCTTTCCTTCCCTTAATAAATTATTAATATATTTATCTCCTCTTATTATTATATCTGTCTCCTTTTCTTCTCCTTCTTCTTCCTCCTCCTCTTCCTCTTCCTCCCTCTCCTTTTTTTCTTCTTTTTTTCTCCCTTTTTCCTCTCCTCCTCCTTCTCCTTCTTCTTCTCCTCCTCCTCCTTGTTCTTTTTCTTGTTGTTTATTTATATTAATATTATTAATATAATAAGAAGGAGGAAGAGAAGAAAGAAGATTATAATAATTAATTTTTATGTTATTTATTTGTTTATTTATATTTATATATATATTATTAATTGCTGCTGCTGCTGCTGCTGCTGTCTCCTTATTATATATAATTAATTGTCTTTTTCCTTCCTTATTATTAATTAATAATTCCTCTATTAATTTTAATTTATTTAATATAAATTGTATATCTTTACGTATATTTGCTGCAGTTGCTGCTGCTGCTGCTTCTGCTGCAGCAATATCTGCTGCTGCTGCTGCTGCAGCTGTATCTCCTCTTCCTCCTTCTCTTATTTCTTTTCTTTTTTCTTTATCTATATCTATATCTATATCTATATTATATATATAATTATATATATTATTTAATTTATTTATTTGTTTATTTATTTCTTTTTCTTTATTTATTATATTTATTAATATATTTCTTTCCTTAGGGGTAACATTATTAATTATATTATTTATTATTAATAAATAACTTTTTATTATATTTAATTCGCTATTTAATTGCTGTATATACACCCCAATTATATTAATAGATTTATATTTAATTGTATAATTAATTATATTAATTAATTCTTTATTAATAATATTTATTTCTTCTTTTTCCTCAATATTTAATTGAATATTAATTATTTTATTAATTAATTTATTTAATATATTATTTATATTATTTATATTATTTATATTATTTATATTATTTATTTCTTCTTCTTTTTCTTTTATTTCCTTATTTATTTTTTTTTTTTCCTTATTTATATATTCTTTTATTATATTTATTCCTTCCCTTATTTCCCTATTACCTATAGTAGATAAGGAGGGGGATATAATTAGCCATTTATTTATTTCTTCTTCTTCTTCTTCTTCTGCTGCTGCAGCAGCAGCAGCTAATTCTTCATCACCTGCTGCTGCAGCAGCAGCAGCAGCAGCAGATGGA